GTGCATGACTTAGCAGTGCCAGTCAGATGTCTCCCAAGTCTTTAAGTTAGAAGTGAGGGCCTAAGAGAACAGGTGGCAGAGAAGCTGTTCTGAAGGAGCAGTGGTGGCAGCAGGCAGGTCTTTGCTGGAAGGTGCATTGGTTGTGCTTTGAGGGGCAGGTCCAGGGTCCAGTATCAGGCTGTGGGAAGTATCCGCTGCTGTCTTTGTCATTGTCTTGGCCAAGGTTTGCAGCCTGATGTTGGCGGTTCTGTGTAGCTGCCAAATTGGTTCTCCAGAGCTTCTGAAAGCTGCCACAATCCTTCTCAATCCTTTTTGGTTTATGCTAGCCAGAGTCAGTTGCTGCAGCTTGCAAACCAGAACCCTGACTGATCCGATTATGCAGTGAAAGGGACCCCTCCAAGACAGGACACTGAGCATCACCAGCTGACGCCCAGAGCATGATGCTTTTGACTGGGGTGAGCCGCTAGAGGAAGAGGGTGAGCGGACACCTTCTCACAGCGACTCGACAGGCACTGGGCATGGAGAAATGCACATCAGAGACGTTGTGTATAAGGTTGATCTAGGGAACAAGGAGACGATGACTGAGCAAGCCAAGGAAGAAATGAGATGATAATTGGTTTGGTGCAATTTCTGTGGAAGCCTCATTGCTGCAGGGGCCGTACAGTCACAGGAGGCTTGTTTTGTTATTGTTTTCACAATGACCGACATTAGAGCACGTTGGGATGCTGAGGGGAACGATCCCATAGAGGGAACACGATGATGATAATGGGATGGAGGGACAACTGCAGGAGGGACATCCTCTCTTCAGAGAGAGAGGGAACTGGGACATACAGCCAGGAGTCTGGGCTGGTCTGTGAGGACAAGGCTGTGACAGAGGGGAGTCTGGCTGGAAAGATGAAACTGTTACCATCAGACAGCTCCCATCTGACTTTAATTTACTGGCCATTTTATCAGCCAGTTTAGTTGTCACACCATCAAAAGCTTTAAGTCTATTCATCTCCCCCAGTACAGAGGAAGATATCACCATCATCGTCACCGTCTAGGACTGTGCAGTGACGGTAGGATATATACACCCAGCTACTGTCCTGAGTGTCTCTGAATAAGTACCTTCTGCTTGAGGACTATATTCCTAACCAAAGCCTCCGTCTTCAGACCGTTAACATCAAGTTTTAGGGGAAGGTTAGTCCTGTAGGTGACATCTTCCCCAACCAGTCCTGCTGTCCCCCACACCCTCTACTCTGTTCTCCACGTAGAGCTGCGTCCGGATGCCTTGCTTGCCTTGCTGTGCATCAGATGCTTCATAGACACAGGATCCAGGCTGGAAAAATACCATTCAGCCAAATACAAAGTCCTTTTTTAAGGGCATGAATCTGTCCCCCACCCGCACCTGCCCCTTCTCATGCACATCACAGAGTGACTTCTGGGTTTCCATCAACAGTAATCAACAGCCAGAACCCACAGGGGCAGAGAATATTCTGTGTGAACACAGAAAATATTCTCAAATATCCTTTGGGAATGGTACATTGGGGGGGGGGCAATTAAGGGGAAAAAAAGGTTTCTGTTCAGTGAGTTGAAGCTTAAGTTCCCAAACTAAATACAATTAAGTTGGGAGCCTCAATGGACAAAGGAAAACATTTTTGGAATCCCTGCAGCAAACAGTTACATGTATCTGAGTATTAAAGTTACATTAATCTTGGGCAATCATGTGATTCCAGTTGCTTCCTCTACAGGATAAAGAAACACACTGAAAGCTATTAATATGTGACCAGAATTGTCGCTGAAGCCCCAAAAGCCACGTCACATATGCATTCATCCTGGGGACTCTGTCACACGCTTTGTGGGCTGCCCGCTGAGGGATGGCACAAGTTTCTTCCTGGGGGGCCTTCTGTGGCTTCTGTATGTTACCCCAAATCCACTATCTGGGAGTGTGATTGGTCAAAAAACAGAAGAATAAGACTGGAAGACAAGGTAGGTTTCCCTAAAGGTTACAGTTGGTCACTTCACATTTAGTCTCAAGTTGCCAATTCAAGACATCGGGGTCTGCCAGAATCTGAGTCACAGGCCACAGACATCCTCCGTTGAAGCACTGAGCCAAGGCAGGCAGGAACAGCCTTAGCCCCCTGCTTTGTTCCAGCGCAGGGACATGCTAGGATAAGAGTCAAGGGACACCATGACTTTCTGTGTCACTTGTATGTTCATGAAACCTGATGTTAACAGTGGCAGCGTCTGCTGATCTGCCTTCTCTGCCTCTCCAAATCTATTGCCTCCTCACATAACAGGGACTGCAACATCCACAAACTAATTCAATTATGTTACACCCACCAAGTAATTAAAGTGGCATAGATGGAACGTGGTAGCATCCAGCATAGAGCACATGTCAGTAAATACTGCAACGTGTTCCTCTGGGACAGGCTGAAGTGACCATCAACAGTTAGCCACGTCCTATAACTTTAGGTTCTTCTAGTTACTCAGGGCTAATCTTTGAACTCAAATTCCCCACAAACCAATCTGCTAACAAGACAGAATTGGTTTGCACTGACTTTTTTAAACAACCGGCCTGAACTAAAATAATGAAAAGGACACACTGTGTTAAAAGCGCGCC